AGACCAGGTTGCTCAAAGCCTCATCCAACCTGGCCGAGAACACTTCCAGGGAGGAGCAGCCACAGCTTCTCTGGCCAACCTGGGCCAGTGTCTCGCCACCCTCTGGGTGAAAAATTTCCTCCTAATATCTGCCCTAAATCTCCCCTCTCTCAGTTTAACACCATTTCCCCTTGTCCCATCACTCTCTGCCCATGGGAAAAGCCACTCTCCCTCCTGTTTCTGAGGTTTCTGACACGGGTGTGCCTTGTCCCGCAGGAGTACGGCGTGCCCTTCATGGAGACCAGCGCAAAAAGCGGCCTCAATGTTGAACTGGCGTTCACAGCCATTGCAAAGTAAGTGACTGGTGTGGCAGCCGAGCTGGGCACCTCTGCGGTGAGGGGGACAGCAGTGTCTGCAGATAAAGGCTGACACTGCCACCCCCATTTTCATTCCTTGGGTTCCCATCCTCAGCTCTTGTGCTGGGCAGGGTTTGCCCATCTCACCTGAGTCATGAAATGCCTCATCATGAGGAGCTTTAGCCAACCACCCAGACCCAGTTCAGCTGGGCTGGGCCAGGCAGCGCAGGCAGAGCAGTAACGTGGTTTTCCTCTCCCCGCAGGGAACTGAAGCACAGGTCCATGAAGCTGCCCAACGAGCCCAAATTCAAGCTCCACGACTACGTGAAGAAGGAAGTGAGAGGCTCGGGCTGCTGCCGGGCCTAATGCGCTCGGCGCGTTTGTACAGAGACTCAACGCCCCGTGTTCGTGCACCGCGCTCTCTCCTCGTGGCCCGTGTGTGCATGTCTGTCTGTCTGTCGTGTCTGTACCTGCCTCAAAGGTGAGCTGGGACCTGGGGAATGGAAGCAGCAGCAGAAAAAAAGCTCTCACGTGCTGCAGCCACGTGCCAGGCGCTGCTCCCCGAGCCCCCATCGCTCCCACCCGCACCGTGAGCCCTCCGGCTTCCCTCGCCGGCCGCTCCCGCTGCTCCCCGAGCTGGGGGGAGGTGGGTGTTTGGGAGGGGATGGGCTGGGGTCTCACCGTCACCCCTTCCAGGGCCAGGGCAGTGGGTAGACCCAGCTGTCTCTACCTGTTCTGCAGCAGCCAGGGGTGTTACGAGGCTTCTTTAACGTTCATAGGAATTATGACGTGACTAAGGGGGACAAATGTCTTCTCCCCCCAAACATCTGGGTAGGAAAAAGTCCCCCGTTCCCTTTCCTTCCCCTCTGTACCTGGAATTCAGCTGTTCCAAGCCCTGGCCTGGGGCACACAGGGATGACTTGTTTTCGAGGCAACTGTTTTTGTAGTTGCTGACTTACGTCCGTCCACCTTTCACGTGGTGTAACACAGCTCCTGGATGAAGGCTCCTCCTCATCCTCGCAGAGGAGCTTATAGCTGTGTGTCTGAGTGAGCTCCTGCTGCCCTGTCTGCTGTACAGAGATTCCTGAATGTTTATCTGTTCGGTAAAGGCTTCGGTTCTCTTCCTCCTGCCATTTCTAGTACTTTAATTGAGAAGAAACCTGATGTATTGCAGCTTATTCTAAATACCTTGATGTTAAGCGTGATCGTGTTTTCAGACCGCAACAACGCTTTGATATCTTCAAAGATCTCTTGGAACAGCTCTTTTAACTGCAGAAAGCTGGGGGGATGCTGTGGGCATTGATTTGCCATGTTCCACTCTCTACCAGCTCCTCAATGGACTCCTCACCCCTTTGCTCTGTGTCAGGCATTTGGCTTTTCTTTTTATTTTTAATTTTTTTTAAAAAAAGCTGCACTTCTAAGTACAAATTTGAATTTTTTTTTTAATCTGGATGGTGTTAGGCCTTTGGCAGTTTTCTTTGAAGATCTCACATGCACAGCAGGTGCCCCCTGCACTGACCCTCCCCGCACTGCCCTGAACGGGCCACTCGAGCTGAAATCGCCCCCCAGCCACACACCAGCTCTCAGCGCCTGTTCAGACCCCCCAGCCCCTGGTTCTGCTCGGGGTGTTGGCTCCAGCGCTGCGTTCCTGACCCTTCCAGCCCCTGCCCCTGATCCAGGTGGGGACTCTGCAGCACAACCCTCCTGTGAGCTACAGGAGAAGGAGCAGCTGCTGCTTCAAGTGGCTCCCACGTAATAAGAGTCCTAAAATAAACCTATTGCAGACAGAGCATTTTCCTAAATAGCTTTTTAGGGAGGAACAAGTCTTTCACAGAATCTTTCATGGAAGGGACCTTTCAGGGCCATCCAGTCCAACCCCTGCAGTGAACAGGGACATCTTCAACCAGACCAGGTTGCTCAGAGCCCCGTCCAACCTGACCTGGAATGTTTCCAGGGATGGGGCTTCTACCACCTCTCTGGGCAACCTGGGCCAGTGTTTCACCACCCTCAGTGCAAAAAATGTCTTCCTTCTATCTAGTCTGAACCTCTCCTCTTTTAGTTTAAAACCATCACCCCTGGTCCTGTCACTACAGGTCCTGCTAAAAACTCTGTCCCCATCTTTCTTACAGGCCCTTCAGGTGTTGAAAGGGGTAATAAGGTCTCCCCAGAGCCTTCTCTTCTCCAGGCTGAACAACCCCAGCTCTCTCAGCCTGTCCTCACAGCAGAGCTGCTCCATCCTCTGATCATTTGTGGCCCTAATGAACTGTCCAATTTAAATTTTATACAAATTATTTAACAAAAACCTGTTCCTGCAGGAATATTTGCAGGGCAGAGGCTAGAGCAGGAGCAGGCAGGTGAGCTTTGCTGTCGGGGAACAGCAGTCAGGGCCCCCCAGGTCCCACCTCAGCAGCGGTGCTCCCACGGGAGACGCGAGGGGACGGCCAGCACTGGCACAGCTGCTCCCACCGGAGCAGGAGCCATCCACTCCTCAGCCCAGACCTCCTCCAAACTGGAACATCTCTCTCCACCTCTACCTGCTCTCAAAGTGCTCTGAGCACTCTCTTTTTTTTTGCCAGTGGCAACAGAAGCAGGGGAAGCTCTGAGGTTCCTGTCACTTATGGAGCAGGAGTCACGCAGTCGCTGTTCATGCTGCTTTGGTGACCTTCGCTCTGCTCCCACGGCTGCTTGACCAGCGTCTCCTCCTTGCAGCTGCTTCTCTTCCAGCCCCTCCAGTCTCATTCTGGGCTGTGGAGCCCACACTCACTGGCTGAGGTTAGGGAAGAAACAGGGAGTGGGATTTTCTGTAGCCCTGAGCTCGCCAGGTACCAGTGTCTGGGTAGCCCAGCTGTGTTGGGAAGGGCCAGCGAGGTACAACAGCAGCAGCCACCGTCCCTGCTCCCAGTCTGCCTTTGGCACTGTTTCCTCAGCCTGGCCTCAGTGCAGCACCAGCCCCTGTCCCCAGTCACCACCCCCTGTCCCCAGTCACCACACCCTGTCCCCAGTCACCACCCCAGCAGCCACAGGGAGTCTCTGAGGAGGGAAAATCAGCATCAGCAGCAGCAGCAGCATCTTAGTGGGCTGCTGCCGTCCCTCCGCGGGCAGGACGGCCTCACCTCGCTGTCTAGAGGAACAAGCTGACAACTCCTCACTACGGGACCTAAACCGATTTAAAAGCTGATTTATAGAAGGAAGATGTGAACGTTACCCTTTGGGTTACTTTAACCACACCTGCTGGGAGCTGACAGAGGCATCACAGCTGCCTTTGGGTTATCAGACCTAAACCTTAACCCAGACTCAGCTCCCCTCTCTCCCAGTCACAGGTTCCCTTTGTATTACTGGTCTCCCAGTGCCTGCACACTGACCCGAGGCTCTGAAGCTCCTCTCACAGTGTGATGTGGCACCTCGCACAGGCTCCTGCTGCCACCAGGCGATGAGGAACCGATGGTTCAGCGCGCTCCAAACGAGCCCCAGGACTTGGCCTCACACGCACCTTAAAAAAGCTGGCTCTGGTTCACAGCTTTTGTTTCATCCCTGTTAATAAATTTTTTAATAACCTTTGTGGCTATAATGTTATTCTGATTGTCTCACACCCCTGCAACTGTTTAATTTTTAAACTAGTTCAGCTCATTCTTGAGCCCATCCAGGTCTCTCCAGTGCCAGCGTGGGCTCAGGTGCCCCAGTGCACCCAGTAAGAACTGAAGGGAGCTGGGCTCAGCGAAGCTGCAGTGCACGTTTTTAGACACTCCGCTTCCCTTAAAGTGAATAATAACAGCAAAAACGGGCTGCTGGTTACCCAAATGCAAACTTTAAAGTCAGTCTGTGGTTTTACATACCACCCATGGGGATTTGTGGAAAAACCAGAAGCAAAAGCAAAACAAAATCTTTTGAAACCTTTATTTAATCAGTCAGCTATAAAATGGGCCTAATACAGAAACCAAACTGGAGATACAGCAAAGAATTAAAAGGCTGAACTTGATTTGAGGCTGCAGAAAGCACATTACCTGAGCAACATGTTATATTCCAAAAAGCTAGCTGGCATCAAGGGCTTAATTTAAATTTGAGATTTAAATTTGTTGTCTCCACAGTCCAGCACTGAAGTTTATTTAGACACTACCAGACTGCCACCCAGGAATCCTTTCCATCACCCACACCACCTGCCAT